GCGGGAACTCGGGCTTGGAGCGCCGAGGTGCCGATCTTGCGGGCGAGGTTCCCGACCCGCCTGCGAGCTGCGAGGCGGGGATGATTTTTCTCTCTTTTCGGCCTGGGGACGAGGCCTGGCTGTTAGGAGGGTTTTGGGGCCGGGAGGCCTTTCCTTGGTGGGGGCGTCTATCCTGCGGGGAGGCCTTAACCGGCCTCGGAGTAGGGTGCCGAGGTGGAAGTAGTGGTTGATTCAGCGGCAGTTGGGGGAACTGCTGTTGATAGTGATACTGAGAGATGTTGTGTAGTACTTGGTGCTGGTGAAGCTGGTGTTGCTGGAACTGTTACATTTGGGCTTGCATTGCCCGCATGCACTGCATCAGGTCGTCCAACCGGTTTTGGCTGGCTGCCAGGGGACAGCAGTCGGTTCAGTAAAGGTTGTCTCAATAGGGGGAGGAAAGGGGATGCTCGTTGCAGGAAGGTTTACGGGCGCCACTGCTTGTGGCGCATTCAAGCTGGGGATCCCATCCACCAAAAGGGGGATGGTGAACTGTCCAACGCACACCACGGGGACTTGAAGTTGTTCCCCGGTGGTGTTTGTCTCCGTGCCACGTCCGGCGTTGCTGGAAGAGGCCATGAGTGTTGGGTTTTTTGAAGAAAAGGGGTTATGAGAGTTTGGAGGGAGGCTTTTTGAAGCGTTTCCCGCAGATGGCGCCAATTGATGATGCGCAATCCGACCGGTCTTAGTTGTCAACGACCTTGCCTCTGAACTCGGTAGCAGGGAACCTGAAACGGAGGAGATGAGGAAGCTCCGGGGGGAACCCAGTGTAAAGGCTCCGAAGCTCAAGTTAGAATCCTTCAAAGGCAAATAAAACCAGATAGCGCAAAGATTGCATACCTCATCTTTGGGGGGTGGAGAGCCTTTTATAACCACCTCGCGCACTCACTCCTATACTTCTGTCAGGTCGGGAATGATTACTTCCGTGCTTCTGCCAGTTCGGGCGTCATTGCCTCTGTTGGGGCAGAACCATCACTGCTCTTTTTGTCGGAGCCGTCTCTGTAACTGGAGATGGCGGTGGCAGGTGACGGTGGYAGGTGGCCGTTGAAGTRCGGCCGTCAAGCGTCAAATCCCAAGTCAGTCAGGTGCGCCGCCCCTGGATACGGACTCCTTTGGTGTCAGGTACGGTGTGGTTCGTTTAGTTCAATGCTCTGGAGGCGAAGTGCCTGGAGCGGTGCGCGAGGCGAAGTCTTGAGTTCAGATAGGGGGGGTGTCCCGAACTGTCATGAGATTGGCCAATTTGGGTCTCTGCTTTGTGTGACTCGAGGCCAAAGGGAGAGTTCGGGCTCCTCGTAGGGAGTTCGAGCTCTAAGTAGGGAGTTTGGGCCCCTTATAGGGAGTTCGGGCTCCTCTTAGGCAGTTGGTCTCCTCGAGGGGAGTTCGGGCTCCTCTTAGGGAGTTGGTCTCCTCGAGGGGAGTTCGGACCGCTGGTCTCTCCCCTTTGGTGTTTTGTACCCTCGGTATGCTGTTTTAAGTGCCGAGCTACTTGTTTTTTGCCACATGGCGTGATTTGCGAGGTCGGGCCAAATCTTCTTTCATCAGGGCCCATAGGGATGGGTCAAATTGCCATCTCTAAAACCAAACATAGCCGAATGAAAATCAAGATGAGTAGACATATTTATTTATTTATTTTGTTTACTAACTCTCACCTCCCATGTGTGCTACTTTTAAAATTATGACTACTTTTAACCTCACCTCCCATCTGTACTACTTTTGAAAGAAAGTATATGATATTGGAAGGACATGACATTGGAAACACCCCCCCCCCCCCCCCCCCTTTTTTTTTTTTTTTTTTTTTGGTTACCACTTTTTATGATGTTCCAATATAATGTCTTCCATGGTGTCATAGTTAAATAAGAATAATTATTTATTAATGGTTGAAATGATATGCAAAATTTAAAAACTACCCAAAAGGCACAAACCATTTTTTTATTCGAGTGGTGGGTTAATGGGTCAACCTTACTGGTCAAATGGGTAAAATAAAATTTTTGAAAAAGATAGAAGGACTAAATTACTAACACATATAAGAATCTTGAATAAAAATATGTATTTATTGTGTCAAAAAAATATGTGTGATAAATAAAATTATTTTTATTAATGATGGAAATAGAATAGAAAGTTAAAACTAATTCCAAATAAAACTATTTTTTATCTAAGTAGTGGCCAACAATCCATAGGGGTCTACTTAGGTAAGCCCAACTCAAGCCTTAATGACTTAGATTGCGATTTAAGACAAGCTAGGCTTGGACCTAGCCCTTAGGTAGCTTGAGCCCAGCCCAACTATATATATAGACACACACACACATTATAACTAATTATTATTATTATTATGATATTATTTTTTATTGAATTTCAAGGCACAAAACATATGCAACTATTATATGTAAATTACTATATCGATTATTTTATAGCGGGATGCATAAGAATCATGAAATTTTATTGATAATATATCAATCAAGAATTCTGGAACATATTATATATTTTTTTACAAATTATTACATGTATAAAGCTATTATTATGTTATTTTCTACCGAATTTCATGGTACAAAACATATGCAGTTATTATATGTGAATTATCATGTCGATTATTTTCTATTTTATTATTTTTAATTTTGAATATTAACCAAAAGTCAACTAAAAATTAATTCTCAAATGTTTAGTTAACAATATTTTTATTTTTGTAAACAATAAACACGCTATTATAAAATGTAATTAAAATTTTATAAAAATATATAATATTAACTTAAAATATATCAAATATACTAAATTTTCTAAGATACACATCATATGAAAATTCATGATTTTTAACTACTAAAATAATTATTCAATTATTAATATTTTTATTTTCATATATTTTGAGATAAAAAAATCATTTTTGATATAAATGTAGATTAATGGATTTGACAAATTCAATTTATATTATATTCTCGAGGTTTTTGTAAATAATATTTTTATTTTTATAAATAATAAATATACTTTTATTTAGTTCAAATTAAAATATTAATTAATAATTTATAAAATTTTAAGATGCATATCATGTTCAAATTTATAAATATTAAGTACTAAAATAATTATTCTATTATTAATATCTTTATTCATATAAATTTCTTGAGATTAAACAAATTTTTTATATAAATTTGGATTTAAGAAATTATTTATTCTATTATAATATTAGTTTTGAATATTATTTTTTTATTTTGAAGGAATTGTTAAACACAAATGTAATTTGTTCGTATTACACGCAAACGGTAGAATAAAAAAAAGTTATTTTATTTTATTAAATTTTATAAGAGGAAAAATGACCTGGGTAACCCTTAATGATTTGTGTTCGAATCACTCAAGGCGCCATGATAAATTTTAGATCCTTTATTTGAAATGGCAGTTGGCGAGTACATTGAAGGGTCAGCACATTTGCTCATTTGAAATTTGGTGCCGAATTTGTTGATCTTAGATTCGTAGCCATGGATGTGGGGTAAAAGAGTAATTGCGCTCAACAGTCATTTGAGTAAACGGACAAGTAGGGGCTGAAGGTGTTTACGTGTCATGTCCAAATACGGTGCCCCCAAAACCAAAGCGTTTTTACCTGATGCCAGGTCATTTTATCAAGATCTTTTCCAGACGAACACTGCAGTAGATTGCATTTCGATGAATGCCTTATCAGGACTATACTAATATTATCAAATAAATCCACGTTAAAAACCCCTAAATTTAAACATCCGAGACCTACGAACCCAACTTCCCTCTTCTCTCTCCCCCCCCCTCAACCAGAAGGAGGAGATCCGGGTTTCTCGACTTCGAGTCTTTGATCTATCTGGCTTCGAATCTAGTAAGTTGTATGTTTCCTTAGTCAAAGATACCGGATATTTGCAGTTTTCATCTCTCTCTCTATCTAGGAACGGCTCTGATCAGATTATGTCTTAATCTATACGTTTTGGAAGTCTTTTACCCATTAAAACCTTAATGAAGATTTTATAATTTGAAAACCCTTGTTTTAAATTCTTTTTATTCACTCGAAGTATGATGGGATGCGTTCTTTGGAGTTACCATTGACGATCAATATTCATTTTCGAAATTTTTTAATTTTTGAGCTATTTTCTTATCTCCGTAGTAATTTCGAAGTAGTTGATTTCTTGGACCCAGTTATTACTAATGTGCACCCTTTTAGTTGTCTAATTGTTTAGTTCTATCAATTGCACTTTGTGCCTTCACGTACCAATTGAGTTCTCCTTGTTAGAATAGCCAGAGAGAAGTTTACATTGTTGTTGCAGGTTTAATTTGTAGTTTTGTCACACACACACGTTTCTCAGTTCTCTAGTAGCATGTAATTCCATTTTCCCTGACATACACACAAACCGTTCGAGGAAATAGGTAGGAGAGGCATAAATTCTTTTCTTTTTTGCTTTTTATTCAAAGAATATTGCATGCATTTCCCACTATACCAAAGGTAGTTATCAAGAAATTAAATTAAAGGAAGTAAAAAGAAAAAAAAAAAAGAATGAAAATAAATAACAATTATATAGGTATGGAGGTAAAAATATCTATGTTATGTGGCAGTGGATTTAGAAACTCACATTGATGAGGAAGCCAGAACAATAGAAAATGCTACTGGAGGGGAGTCAGTCTCGCGTGAAGGAGATGCAATTCTAGAACCATATGAGGGCATGGAGTTTGAATCTGAAGATGCTGCCAAGGCGTTCTATGATGAATATGCCAGAAGGGTGGGGTTTGTCATGCGTGTCATGTCATGTCGCCGCTCAGAGGTTGATGGAAGAATTCTTTCTCGTCGACTTGGGTGCAATAAGGAGGGATTTTGTGTTAGCATTAGAGGCAAATTTGGCCCAGTTAGGAAGCCAAGGGCAAGCACAAGGGAAGGTTGCAAGGCAATGATTCTGGTAAAATCAATGAAGTCTGGAAAATGGGTGGTTACAAGGTTTGTAAAGGAACATAATCATCCATTGGTGGTTTCAGCCCGTGAGTGTCGCCATACAATGGTGAGTTCTTCTTTGCTTAATGTTATTTTAGAAGTAAATATCCTAAAGCATCATTTCCATTGGTTTTATTAATTACTATGCACTCTTTGCTTCATTATATTGGACCCTTGAAGGTGATTTGTTGATTTTTCTTTCATCTGGCAGTCTATATATGATCAACAGATATTAACTATATGGTCTGTATTTAATCTCTTTCATAAAAAATTATGACTGTTAGGACTTGGCCCACCTTACCTAGGATGTTCTCTCCTGCAATACTTAGTGTGGTGCTGAGCCATAGCACTTATGCTCAAGTAGCCATTTGGATTTATGTGCAAAACCAATTACTTAATGAGTTCGCATTTATGTGGATGAGATAGATCACATCATGTCCTTTAATAGATGGAAATGATTTTTACTGATAAAGAAATAAATGGAAATATGAGTTCGCATTTTGCATCCTTCTTTTCTTATTTTAAACTTGAGAGAAATTGATGTTTATTAAATTAAAATGAAAATTATAAAAAGATGGAGCAAAAAAATGAAAAAAAAAACTATCCAAATGGCCCACAGGGAGAATTTATAAAGAATCCTAATTCATTACCCGGTAGCTCTCTGAAGACACCTAACTTTTCATGAATATTTTTATTTTATTATAATTTAATTTTTTGTTGGAGGGGATGGTTTTGTTCAATCCATCTTCAGAGATTTGGAGGGAGACAAATAAGCTATCAATAAGGAAAAAGAGGTGGAAATTGAGGTGAGATGTGAGAATGGATGTGTTGAATCCTGAAGATTTTGCTAAGTAGAAAAAAATGAGATACTTGGATGAGATGCGCTGGAGCATATAACAACTAGAGTGAGGGGTAGGAGAAATATTTGAGAATTATAAGGCTAAATCTTCAGGGGGTGAAAAAGACAAATAAATATTAAATGTGAAAGGGAGAGGCAGGAAGGGGGAGTAAAGAGGTATATGGGTCTAGTGGTAGTCTATGGTGGTTGTGGGTGTTCTTCTGCGTCTCATGTAAGGTTTGGGGGGGGTTGTTATTTGTTTGTTCGGTTTTGTTGGCTGCTGTCAATCATTGCTTTTGTCTGTTTTTCTTAGAGTGAGGTGTTTTCTCTAATTTTTTGCTATTGTTGATGGATTTTTTAGGTGGTTCTGTATAGTAGTTCCATTTGTTTGTCTGGTGTGCTTAGGGTGAGTCATGAGTGTTTTCTCTATTTTTTAGCTATTTTTGGTGCATTTTTTAGGCGGTTCTGTGTAGCAGTAGTAGTACATTTATTGTTCTGGGGGTTGACAGGGTGTTTCTATTTTTTTTTTCTGCTACTCTTTGTTCCTTTAGAAAGCCTTTGTTTTCTTTTTCTTGGACCACAATGCTTGTATATATTTGATATACTTCTATTTTCTTTTATAAAGATTTAAGAACTATAATAAAATGATCTTCCCTCTCTTCTTCCTATGGGTTGGAAAATCCACTCTGGAGCAAGATTTAAAATGTTAGCATTGGTGGGAATATCAGTCACCTAAATATGGGAAACATTATAGATATAGTGGAAACATTGTGAAATATTCAGAAATATAGAATGATATGCGGTGCTCCCTTTTGAATTATTGTTTTGTTCCAAACCATCAAACTAAGCTAAGAAACTATGGTTAACTAACAAAATAATACGTTCCAAAGTTGTCCTATAAAGTATAATCCTTAAGAGTCAAAACTACATAATATGGTGAGTTTAAACAAATTTAAACTCATTGAAAATGCAAATGATTCTAATAGATAAACCAAATTACACAAACGAAACCTAAGACTTAACCATAGTTGTGAAAGCGTCTAGGTGATTCTAGGCGACAATGGGGTGCCTAGTGCCTACTTGCCTAATTGCCTAGGTGATAAGAATTTTACAGAATAAAAAACAAACTTTTGGCTAGTTCCCTAGTTTTATATACCATTCAGCATGCTATTAATTGAAAAAATAGCAATTCTCTTTGTTAAAAACATTAAGCTTCCTCTCAAAACATGACAACCATTTTCATCATTCTCTCCTCTTCTTCCTTTTCTCTTCTCTTCTCTTCTCTGTTCTCTCCCACACTTTTTTTTTTTTTTTTTTTTTTTTTTCTGGCTGATTCCTAATCAGAACACAGGAGGACTGTCAATAACTTCATCCAAGTTGGTATCAGAGCAGGACTAGGATTGTTCAAGGTTCTCATGTGGTCTTATTCCAACTGACTGTATGGGAACTTCCTAGGGCTAGAAGCTGAACATATATCGCCTAAATCTTGGAGGTTATTGGAGAGTTTGCTGCTGCCCAGGGTATTGTGTGACCTTGGAGATTGCCCAATAACTAGAGAGACTTAGAGAAATCAAGTAAATGCTAGGTTTAGGGCTTAAACCTATTTTTGAAAGTTTTACTTAAGGTTTTCTGGGTTGCTTTCTTATCCCTATAGAGTTCGATAGCCTTTAGGAGGTGGTGGAATCATCCTAGAAGGAGCGGTTGATGTTTTTCCCTATTGTTTTTTCTCCTTTTTATTGTTAGTTGACCAGTATTGTTTAGCAGTTGACCAATATTGCTTAACAGTTGACAGGTATTGCTTAACACTTGGCTAATATTGCTTAATAGTCAACCATTATTGTTAACAGTTGATCGGTTGGGAGAAATTAACATCTATCATGGAGACAATTAGGAGTGAATCAAAGGTCCAAGGGGAAGGATTTATAGGGGCTGGAAGTATGATAGACAACACCTTTCAAATGACTACTGTCAAGTTTGATGGAACCAATTACTTGGAATGGGAACAATCAGCCATGATGGCCATTGGAGGTAGAGAAAAACTAAGGTACGTGATTGGAGATATAAAAAACCAACCAAGGAGGACCCAACTTATGCCAAGTGGGTTCAAGAAAATTATTTGGTGATGACTTGGATGTGTAATTCCATGCAGCCTCACATTGCAGAAATTATTAGTGGGTGAAAACAACCAAGGAAATATGGGAAAATATGAAGGAGACTTACTCTCAGCCTTTGAATGTTGCTGGGGCTTTTGCATTAAAGAGTGAAGTAAACAATCTTAAACAGGAGGAGAAACCTGCATTTGCCTACTTTGCATTGAAGTCTTTATGGCATGAGATTGATCACAAGAGATAATTGAGTGGGGAAGTCGAGAGGATGCTACAACATATAGGAAGTTGGTGGAGACAAATAGGGTGTTTGAGTTTTTTGCTGGTTTGAATTCAAATTATGATATTGTGAGACAACAATTACTTACTAGAGACAATATTACTCTATCTCAGGCTTATTCTCTAGTTCACAGTGAAGAGAGCAGGAGGAAAGTTATGTTACAAATTCCACCTATGGAATCAGCTTTAGCAGTAGTAAAATTGAAGAATGATACTATGATGGTGATAAGGAGAAAGATACGGGGAAGGGGGACAAGAAGGGAATATTTTGTGGTTATTGTAAGAAGCCAAAGCACATCTGAGACACTTGTTGGAAGTCATCCACACCTTATTCTAGTAAGACTGAAGAGTAAGAAAGGGAATGCCAATTTGGCTGTTATCAGATGGACCATCTTCTTCAAGTATAAGATCCACATCTCTAGATGCTCTAGTTGCTGTCCGAGTTGCCTTGACTCAATTGGAAAGTGAGGCGGGTATTTTAGGACCATCTTAGCTGTTAACTATTGCACCTACTACTCCCACTTCAACTTTTGCTCATTTAGGTACAAGGACTACTACCTATCATGCTTCTGCCTTAGGTAACACTAGCATTTTTTTGATTGTAGATTCAATTGCATATGACCGGTTTGTCCTTTTTATTTACTACTTATTGCTTATCCTTTGGCAGAAACAAAATATCCATTATTGATGGCTCTCTTGTTCCTATTTCTTGCAAGGAAGACATTTGAGTGTCTGATGCCATTAATTTATCCTTAGTTTTGCATGTTCCTAAGCTTAGTACTAATATTCTTTTAATTAGTAGTATTATTAAGAATCAGAATTGTTCAATGAGCTTTTTCTTTAATTGTGTTTTCTAGGATCTAGCGACAAAGAAGGTGATTGGGACTTTTCGTGAGGCAAATGGAATCTACCTGCTTGAGCATCTATCTAGGAGGCATGAAGGGGTTGGGGGGTCTTTTGTTTCTTAGTTTGTGAGTCAGCTTATGCTTTGGCATAATCAGTTAGGCCATTTATCTTTTGGGTCCTTGAAGAGCTTGTTTCCTAAGTTGTTCAAGTAATCGAGTCAATCCAAGTGTCAAGTTTGAGATGTAAAAGTTGTGAAATGGCAAAACATTGTAGATCAACTTATTTATTGAGTAGTAAAGAAGTAAAATTGTGCATACCGATGTTTAGGGACTATATCATATTATTAATATGGGGAGATATGGATATTTCCTATTATTTGTTGATGGCTATTCTCATTTTTCATGGGTATATCTTATGCGTTCCCGAGATGAGGTTCCTACTTTGACCTATGCCTTTCATTAGATGGTTTTAACCCATTTTGGAATCACAATCAAAATTTTTAGATCTAATAATGCTAAGGAGTATTTTTGCAAAATCCTTGGTCTCACATCTTCTTGAGTATGAAGTTATCCATCAGAGAACATGTCCCTATACACCTCAACAAAATGGAGTAGCTGGGAGAAAGAATAGGCACATCTTGGAGGTTGCTAGAAGTATGTTGATTTCCAATGGCTCCATACTTTTCTGGGGGATGCCATCCATACAATTGTCTATCTCATCAACAGAGTTTCTTTACGAGTATTAGACATGAAAGTTCCTTTTAACCTGTTGTATCTTGACAAAGATTAGTTCAACATTCCACTTAAGACTTTTGGGTGCACTTGCTTTGTTCAAATCCTTAGACCTAATCATTCTAAATTTGATCCTAAGGCAGATAAGTGTATCTTTCTTGGGTATGCGCAAACTCAAAAGGGGTATTATTGTTTTGATCTTGTCTTTGGGACTTGTTTTGTGTCTATGGATGTTACCTTCTTTGAGGATGCCCCTTATTATCTTAGG